TCCCTCCCTCCCTTTTCCCCCATCAGGAAAGGATACTAAATGTTGTGTTTGTTGGCGCCATCCGAAATTGTTACTGAAATTGTTAGCTGAATTGTCAAGCCTATTTTAATCTTAGTTTTTAAGGTTAAACTCTTGTGTCTATTTTTGGAAATCTTGTTCCCAGCCTGGAGCCCTGTTTACAGGGGACGGCGGGTTATAAATTGCATGAAATAAAAAAAATGATGATAATGATAATTTCAATACCCGGATATCTTCAGGTGCCACCTGGACATTGGCCACCCTAAGGCATTTCAGTCACAAAACTAGGCCCGAAGCCAGACGGATAAGGATAAAAATAGTCATTATCATCGTGCGGTCTGTGTTGCTACCACCTGTTCTATTATTAAACTAAGGGCTCTGGAGATGTCTTTTTTTAAAAAAAGAGAGAGAATATTCTTACATTTTCTTCTTGGAAGGGGCCACACCAGTTCTCTTCTGAAGAGAGGCCTTGACTACTGCCCAGACCAGCCTCTCCTGCATTTAGGCTGACCTGCCACGTTTGGGGGCGAGGCCTGCTTCCCTTCTCCTGCCAAGGCCTTGACCTACGAAGTAATGCAAAGAGTCCCTGGTATGCTGGGCAGGAGAGGAGGGGCACCGTATGCTTCAGTCCTATTAGCTGGGAGTGGTCTGGGAGCTGGAGATCTCCTGAGATTACACCTCATCTCCAAGTGACAGAGCTCAGTTCCCCCGGAGAAAATGGCCACTTCGGAAGGTGGACTCTGTGGCATGATACCCCATTGACGTCCCTCTCCTCACCAAGCCCCGGCCTCCTCAGGCTCCACCCCCCAAAAAATCTCCATTTCCCAACCTGGAGCTGGCAACCCTATTTGCCCGCATTTCAACCTAACTTGGTTCCTTTACAGTCACACCCACTCCTTAGGGTTGGCAGAGGATCCCCCGGTCTTTGGGGCTCCAATCCACTGCCGGCCAACTGGCCAGCGGGGGAAGCCCCACCCCCGAGCAAGGACGTCAGTGTGCCACATCCCTGTCACCATGACGTCACCCAGAAGTGACGTCATCGCGTTGCTGACACTGGGGGTGACACTCTAGTTTTTGGGAAAGCTCTATGGTTTTGAGGGCCGCTTTCTCCAGGATGAAGTCACTTCTAGACTCAAGGGATCCCTCTTTTCCCCCCCAGACCATCCCAAACCTGTCTGCTTTCAAATCCACCTCCCTTCATGTCACCGACCCCCAAAACAGAGAAGAGTCTTTCCCAGGGGTCATTTCGTAGAAATTCATGTCCCCGACCCCCAAAACGGAAGAATCTTTCCCAGGGGTCATTTCGTAGTAAAAGTGGTGCAGGAGCTCATTAGCATAACTTATTTGCATATGCCACACCCCCTGCCATCACCAGACGTGTGTCAGAAGGCAACACACACCGCTCAGGCTACACTGGGCAAATGCAGATCTGTCCTTGCACAGGTGCCACTGGACTGTTTTGGACCTGGGGGGGCTCTGCAGCTTACCTGGCTGCTTCTTGCTCTGACTGAGGGCTGCTGGGAGCAGGGGGTGGGGCTTGTTGCATGTGCCCGCCTCCTGGGCTCTTTACTGCTGGAGATTTGCTCCTGTGCGCTCCTGCAGGAAATGACCCCCAGTCTTTCCTCAGCTGTAACCGGTGTCCGTTTAAATCCTGGTTAAAGACCTCCCTGCGATTATGGAATTCTAATCTGGCGATTATTTGTGCTGTAATAAATCTGTCAGTCTTTGAGGCACCGCAGAACTCGTGTTTGTGTCTCAAGAACGACGGCAGTTGTAGCACCCCACTAAAAATGCATTCCGCCACGCAGCCTGTGACCCCTTTCCAGTGAATTCACGTGTTTTTAATGTTAAAAAAATAATAAAAGTAAAAGAAAGCGCTGTCTCAGGAAATGATATGTTATTTTCTGCAAACCCGTTTTATGCTGCTCAGAAATTAATAGGACTGAAGGGAGGAAAATTGTACTTTACTTGGATAAAGAGCTTGGGCCGGCCGTGGCGGTGAACTATCCGGGATGAGGGAGCCTCTTTGGTATAAAATGAATAGAGGGATGATGGATGGAATATCGGTAGAACCATACAGAGTAACGTGTCAAGTCATGCAGCATCCTGTATAGACGAACTGATGGGGAAACGGATGGAGGAAGAAAGGCATGGAGATGGGGCAAGAGATGGAAAGAGGAAGCCGATTTAGAACGAGCGGAAAGAAGTATGATCGACAGAAGGCGTGCCCGTGCTCTGCCTTCTGTTTTGATACGTTCCTCCTGCCCCCTAATCCTTCTGTGCCTACTTCTTTTGCAGCCCATGGGAACTGGGGGAGCTGGGGGAACTGGGGGGCCTGCTCTGCCACTTGCACCCCCGAAGGTCCAGGCCCGAAGCCCAATAAGCAGCGTCGTCGTCAGTGCAACAACCCTGCGCCTTCCAGTAACCCACCTGGCAACCGCTGTCCGGGAGACGACCAAGAGTCCCAAGCGTGTGCTGGACTGCCCTTCTGTCCACGTAAGAGGGAAAATGCCTCATAATCTCCCCCGCCCCACTAAATCCTATGTGGTGATGACACCCTGTACCTTTTCGAGGATGACAAGGGGGTGGGGAGATCAGTGGGACCTGTGGGGGAGGGAACTTGCACCTGCCCCACTGATTAACTTCTTTCTCCCCTTCCCGCCCCCCTTGCCCCTTTCAGTGCCTTTCCAGGGCAAACGCCTCCCTTTCTGCTGGGGTTGCTAGGCAACCACATGATGCCAGCCGTGATCTCGTGAGGTTTTTCACTATCTCAGGTGGCATTTTCCACCTTCGGGGCAGATTTTAAGCCCTCAACTTAAAAAAGAATTCTGGATTTTCCTCCAAACCTAGGTGTTCCCCGGGTTTGTAGAAACATTTCCCCATATCTGTGCCTACCCAGCTGTGTGGATTTTTTTGTGTGTGCTCATGCCTGGAAGTCATGGCCACCTCTGGTGACTCCTACTGGTGTATAGAGGACATTCAGAGAAGTGGCTTGATAGCCTGCCTCTGCCTCCCAGCCGTGGTATTCTTTGGAGGTCTCCCATCCAAATACTTGCCAGGGTCGGCCCTACTTAGCTTCTGAGATCTGACGAGATCAGGCTTGCCTGGGCTATCCAGGTCAGGGCCTGTGCGGATTTTCTGATCTGCACACTAGTGGCCAGGTTAAGAATTAGATGCATGGATGGCCCCAGTTTCCTCTCTGTGCTCAGAACCAGTGAGATGGTGACTTCCAGAACAAAACGGTCCAGAAGCAACGTGTTACTGTTGCCCTGTGCCATCTAGTTTCAGAATGAAAAGCCCAGTTTAGACAACATCCTCAAATCAATTTATCTTCGTTCCATACTGTATAGGGAATGGCACATCTTTAGAGAGGTGGAAAGTCTGGATGTGATTCTGTGATGCCCTCGCCTGAGACAGTCTTTGTAGTTTCATCCATATCACTCTTTCTCTGTCTGTGTTGTCCCCCCCAGAGGACGGCAACTGGGGCACCTGGAAGCCGTTCAGTGACTGCTCAGTGACCTGTGCGGTTGGCCGGCGACTGGAGAAGCGTCTGTGTGACAGCCCCGCACCAAAGTATGGAGGGCAACCCTGCCGTGCGTCAGACACTCGTAGTTTTGCCTGCAACACCGGGGTGCCCTGCCCAGGTAAAGTAGAACAAGCTGGAAGGCAGAAGGAAGCCTATCATGAGTGAGTACCCTGGGCCGTGAGCCCAGAAACTGGCCTGTCTGGGCTGCTTCCTCTTGTCGGTTCTTCCAACCACCACTGCAACCCTGACTTTTCCCAGAAGACAGCCAGTTTCTGTTAACAACTTCTGGACTTCCTTCCAGGGCTAACGTTGCCCCTGTTTCAGTGGGCTTTTGAATCCCTTTATAAAGTCCGTAAGGAGAGAAATATGAACAGGATGGTCCATTCCCCCTACTTTTCACACCCTGAACTCTTGTGGGGCTTCTTTCATTTTTACTCTCCTCACAGGTGTCACCTAGGAGGCTATGGGGGCCTGCCCCCCTCAGGAATGGCACCTGTGGGGCTTCTTTCATATTTACCCTCCTCACAGATGTTACCTAGGGGGCGCTATGGAGGCCTGACCCCCTCAGGAATGGCACCTGTGGGGTTTCTTTCATATTTACTCTCCTCACAAGTGTAGTTGGGGGGAGGCACTATGGAGGCCTTCCCCCCCCTAAAAAAAGGGCACATGTGGGCCTTCTAGCATATTTACTCTCCTCACAGGTGTCACTGTGAGGGAGGCTATGGGGGCCTGGCCCCCTCAGAAATATTTCTGGGAACCCTTCCTGAATTATCCAACTTCACTTTTTAAGAAGTGTGTCCCCAGTCTTTTTACTTACAGTAGAAAAGAGCCAGAGTTCAGTAGCACCTTAAAGACTTAACAGAATTTTCAGCAGGGGAAGCGCTTTCGTGAGTCACAAGGCTCACTTCTTATCTGAAGAAGTGAGTAGTGACTAGAGATGTAAAATTTTCGGAAATTTTGAAGCTCGGAAAAAAACCCGTTTTTTTTCGGGGGGAAACTGAAATTTTTGGAAAATATATTAGCATTTCTTTTGCTATATTAGCATTTCTTTTGTCTTTTCTAGATTGAAAGTCATTCGGTTACCTTAGGAACATAAAATAGGACTATGGACATTTTTACTTGGCATGAAATTATCACAACTAGCATATTAAAAATATAGTATATCCAAACAATTATTACAAACAGAATACCCACCCACATGCAAACACAAAACTGAACCCTTTTTATTTTCTTCTGACAATAGCACCTCCTAAAGGAAGAAATGCATCTTGTTCTTGCATTGGAGAGTTCTGCTTGTAACCTAGGACTTGCTTGTCCTCAGTGCACAGAAATTAGATCAATCTGATACCATATATATATATATATATAATGATTTGGAAAATATTTGAACACCTTGTCTTAAAATATTTTATTCATCATGTTAAAATAAAACATTCCATAATCAATTTTTTTCCTTTCCTTTTCTTTTTTCAATTTTTCAGAAAAAAACAAAAAAGGCTTTTTCCGGGTTTTTTCCGGGCCTTCACATCTCTAGCAGTGACTCATGAAAGCTCATTCCCTGCCGCAAATTCTGTTAGTCTCTTAAGTGCTAGTGGACTTGTGTTCTTTCCTGCTGCTACAGACAGACTAACATTGCTACCCAACTTTTTATTTACATAATTTTTTTTTAAAAAAAAGATAGGTAGTATTCTGCTCAGTCAGAGGGTAAACCTGTTCCTACATACCTGTATTCTGCCCCCTAAGGTTATCGGCAAGGGCTTGGTACTGATATTTGGAACGTATTCTTAATTGTGTTAAAATCTTTGTTTTATTTTGAATTTAAATTTTGAATTGTCAAGGACAGCATAATTAATATAATTTCAGGTGGGTAGCCATGCTGGTCTGAGGCAGGAGAGTAGGAACTTGAATTTCATGAAGGGAGCGTTGAGTCTCACAAGCTTGTACCCTGGAAATCTAGCTGGTCTTTAAAAGGTGCTACTGCCCTGGACTCTTGCTCTCATAATTCAGTGTCATGAATTGAAACATATCGGGGTGGAGAGGACGGCAGCAGACCTGAGTTTTCAAATGGGGGATGCTGCCAAATCGGTAAAGAAGCATCAGGCAAGATGGTGTGTCTTTGTGTTGTTGACAACACCAGTGTGGTGCAGCGGTTAAGAGCGGCAGACTCTAATCTGGGAGAACCAGGCTTGATTCCCCCACTCCTCCTCCATGCGAAGCCTGCTGGGTGACCTTGGGCCAGTCACCAGTTCTCTCAGAACTCTCTCAGCCCCATCTGCCTCTCAAGGTGCCTCTCGTGGGGAGAGGAATGGAAGACAATTGTAACCCGCTCTGAGACTCCTTAAGGTAGGGAAAAGAGAGGTATAAAAACCTACTTCTTCTTTTCCTGGCTGTTTTTATTCAAGCAGGGCTCATTGCTCATCAAAGTCTGGCTGGGAGGAGAGGACGGGAGGGGGGGCAGAGGGAGAAATGCACACACACCCTTCCTCCTCCTCCTTCCCTATTTGAAATTCCCTCCAAACCCATACTGTTGCTTTACCGGCATTTTGGTACAACTCTCATTTGAAGACACAAGTCTACAACTATGAGCCCACATTAGTACTGTAAGCATAGCCCTTAGATGGGTGTAACTTGGTTGTGACATCCAATGCTCCCTCTAAGCTGTGGAGACTTGTGAGCAAAAATTCTACTTTGTGAGCTACTGGCATTAAAATTGTGAGCGAGCGATTTGGCCGCTGCATCAATTAGTTTGCTCTGGAGCCATCCTTTCCTGAGCTAAGGCAAAAATGTGTGAGCTGGAGGCTAAAAAACTGTGGAGCTCGCTCACACTAACTCAGCTTAGAGGGAATACTGGTGACGTCTGCCACAAGTCGGGTGGAAGATTCTCCGATCAAAGGGAGGGGCTGTGGCTCAGTGGCAGAGCCTCTGCTTGGCATGCAGAAGTTCCCAGGTTCAAGCCCCAGCTTCTCCAGTTAAAAGGACCAGGCAGGAGGTGATGTGAAAGATCTCAGCCTGGGACCCTGGAAATCTGCTGCCAATACTGATCTTGACGGACCAAGGCCTGAGTCAGTATAAAGCAGCTTCATGCGTCACATCAAGAAACTAACATTCTCAAGTACTCCAGGGCCAGATTTGGCTTAGGAGCACAGCCGTGGGGGGACCCTACATGTTCTGACCGCAGCAGCATCCCCTACCCGACCAGTGGCAGATATCGTGTCCAGTTTGGCCCTAAGTCGAGGGGCTTAGAAGGGTGTAACTCAACTTGGGATTGCTCCATAGGGCCTGTTGCTCCTTTCTTGCCACACCTAGTCATGGTCTTGCCATGGCATCGGTCCGTGTCCATAATCCACGTCCGCGTTACTCATGCAACAAAAAAAGTGGCTTATTCCGGAGAGTCACATCTGGTGTTGGGTTGCGTAAGTGTCTTGGAGGTCCATTGCAAACAAACTGTGCACAGCTGCCTCTCCTCTGATATCCTGGAGCAGAGATGTCGAACTCATTTGTTACGAGGGCCGGACCTGACATAAATGTCTGTCGGGCCGGGCCATGTGTGCCATAAAATGTCATGTCCAATTAATTCCGCTGAATTTTTATATCCATCTGACCACTGTCTCTCCGCTCTGGAGTGGCCATTGAATCTGATCCTGGTTTTTTTTTTACACTCTGCACAGTGGATGGACATTGGACCGAGTGGACCGAGTGGACCCCCTGCAGCAGGCACACCTTCACAGGGAAGATCGAGTGCCGCGAGATCCCTGGATTTCAGAGGAGGACCAGAAAGTGCGTTGACCGGGCCCACGACGGGAAGCGCTGCCCTGGGGAATTAAACGAAATGAGAAACTGCTACAGTATAAATATGTGCACCTGTGAGTATTTGGGGATTGGGGGGGGCAAGGCCGTGATGAAAATAGTGTTTTGGCCCCGAAGTATGTTTGAAAAGTGAAACTTCAAAAAGGCCATTTATGTCATGGCCAGGGTTTTTTTTGTGGTTACTGCCCCCCCCCCCGAGAAACTGAGATCTCAATTTAGGAAAAACAAGAAGCGGGGACCCGCGATACTTGCGGTGGGGGGGAGAAGGAGCTCCACAAGGAGGAGGAAGAAGCAGCTGCAGGCGAGCCTTCTCCCCCGCCTACCCCCTGCACTGATGTCAAGGCCCAGGTTTGCCAATCCTTCTCCCCCCCCCCAACCTCCCCAGCACTGACGGCAAGGCCCGCGCAGCTCCCAGCCGCTGGGCCTGCTGAGCCTTCTCCCACCCCCCGGCATCGGCGGCGAGGCCTGAGCGGCTCCCAAGGAATGCTTTTACTTTTGGGGAGATTTAAATATCCCCCATATATTTTTTTTCAATTTTTAGATTTTTCTGCACACCTGTGGACTGCCCCAAGTGTGCAGGAAAATCTCTCTGCCCCCCAAGTGCCCCCGATGTGCGGATTTAGATATCCGCACGGAGGGGGCAACTTGGCTATTAGATAAGGGACTCGTATTGGAACACTTAGTACTGTAGTGTGGAAGGAAAGGAAATATGAACCTGATGACCTGACTGCTATGGGGGGAGGAAAGGGATGCTGGCTAATTTTAGGGTTGCCAATCTCCAGGTGGAGCCTGGAGTTCTCCCAGAATTCCAACTGATCTCCAGGCAACAGAGATCAGCTCCCCCGGAGAATAAGGCTGTTTTGAAAGGTTGGCTCTATGGTATTATAGCCAGCTGAGCCCCCTCCCCTCCCCAAATCCCACGCTTCTCAAGCTTCACCCCCAAATCTCCAGGACTTGGCATCCCTACCTGCCTGCCACCAACCCAAACGATCAAGAACCAGAAAAGCGGAGGTATCTGCATATATAAGCACAAAATATATAAATCCAGTAAATTCTAAACTAAATATATAAATGTCCTTTAATTGAAAAAGTGTGACGAAAAAAATTGCAGTATAAACTCTCATGTTGTCAATCAGAAGAAAAAAAGATCAAACATGTTTTGACAAAGCTGTCTTTACCAGCAGTCAAGTATATAATGTTGAAAGATAAAGATACAGATAATTCTATGTTGAAAATTCAAGTGAAACATTCAAAGTATTTCATGCAATGTTCTCGAGGTTGAACCTTCAATAATATAAATTGTGCATATCTTTTTGGGCTGTGCCCAAAGAGTGTTCTTTTGAAAGCTAGTTTACAATAACCACAACTTCATTAATCTATTCACTTGGTGTTTTAGAAAAGGTGCTTACAGAATTCTGGGTCTCTGAAGACGTAAAATCTCTTGGCGAAACTACTTTGTCAATTAGAAGCGTATCAGTTCAATTAATGGTTAAAAGTAGCTTCAAGATTGGTAAAAATTCAGCAGGCACAAGCCCATACCCCATGCTGAAAAGTAAACATTACAGAATGGGCTAAGTCAGATCACTGCTAAGAGCATCAGAAGAGCCCTGCTGGATCAGGCCAGTGGTCCATCTAGTCCAGCATCCTGTGTCACACAGTGGCCGACCAGTTCCTCTGGAGGGCCGACAACAGGGCAGAGAGGCTGAGGCCTTCATAAGAACATCAGAAGAACGTTGCTGGATCAGACCAGTGATCCCTCTAGTCCAGCATCCTGTCTCACACAGTGGCTAACCAGTTCCTCTGGATGGCCAAGGCCTTCATAAGAACATCAGAAGAGCCCTGCTGGATCAGGCCAGTGGTCCCTCTAGTCCAGCATCCTGTCTCACACAGTGGCTGACCAGTTACTGTGCAGGGCCAACAAACAGAGCATAGAGGCCGAGGCCTTCCCCTGATGTTGCGTCCTGTCTCTGGTATTCAGAGGTTTACTGCTTCTGAATGCGGAAGTCCCCATGTGAAATTATGGAGTCTAGGACTGAGCCCTGCAGGAAAACTTAGCCCTGTAGGTTTACAGCAGAAGCTGGACGTACATCATTCTGATTGGCTGATGCCCATGCCATCACCGGGAACATCCGGGGACCCTCAATCTTGAAGCAGTTTTGCACTTTTTAATGGCAACTTTCCTTTTTGTAAATAATCAAGGCAGGGAATACATGGATAATTGGTCTGATGTGTGTATGGTCTCTCTCAGTGCCAGGCATCTGGACGGACTGGAGTCCTTGGGGTCTGTGTGAGCCGGCTTGTGGGGAGAACCCAATGAGATCTCGCAAAAGGGAGTGCAAAGCTGTCTACCCTGATTACTCGTAAGTGAAATGGGGGGACTGGGGGGAGGGGACCAGGAGGCCAAGCCCCCCGCCTCTCTGCTACCTTCACACCCCCTCCCTGCCCATCTGCCCCTCCTCCACCACACACCTGGGGATCCTTCCCCTGCTTGCTTCTGAGCAATGCTCCCTGAAAACCAGGGGTGGCCAAACTGTGGCTCGGGAGCCTCACGCAGCTCTTTCACACATATTGTGTGGCTCCCGGCAGGGTGGCTGGGGAAGCTAAACATCCTTAGCAAACAAATATCATTAGACAAATAAATATCATCAGGGGTCATTTCGTAGAAAAAGAGGTGCAGGACCTCATTAGCATAACTTATTTGCGTCAGAAGGCAACACCCACCACTCAGGCTCCACTGGACTCTTTTGGATTGCTAGCTACTGGGGGGGGGGGACGTGCAGATCTGACTTCGCAGAGGAGGGAGACCTTGTACCTGAATAAGACTTGGTCTTAAAAATCCCACTGGACTGTTTTGGACCGGGGGGGCGGGGGGAGCTCTGCAACTTACCTGGCTGCTTCTTGCTCTGACTGAGGGCTGCTGAGAGCAGGGGGTGGGGCTTGTTGCATGTGCCCGCCCCCTGGGCTCTTTACTGCCGGAGCTCCGCTCCTGTGCGCTCCTGCAGGAAATGACCCCCGAATATCATTATCAATATCGCTTTTACTGCTTTTTGGTATTATTTTTGGGAGTCTCATTTAATGTCAATAAAAAGCAACTTTGCATATTTCCCAGTAAAAATGTGTAATATTTGTTCATGTCTTGTGGCTCTCAAACATCTGACATTTATTCTGTGTGGCTTTCGCGTTAAACAAGTTTGGCCGCCCCTGCTCTAAGCTGTGGAAGTCTTGTGAGCAAAATTCTACGTTGTGAGCTACTGGCATTAAGGTTGTGAGCGAGCGATTTGGCTACTGCATAAATTAGTTAGCTCTGGAGCAGTGCTCCCTCTAAGCTGAGTTAGTGTGAGCCAGCTCACAGTTTTTTAGCCTCCAGCTCACAGATTTTTGTCTTCGCTCAGGAAGGAATGGCTCAAGAGCAAACTAATTTATTTGGCCTGACCCATCCATATGTTCTTAAAGCCGCTGGTGGACCTCCTGATGGTATCTGGATTTTGGCCAGTGTGTGACACAGAGTGTTGGACTGGATGGGCCACTGGCCTGATCCAACGTTGGCGTCTCTTATGTTCTTATGGTCTCCTTTACCTCCCCTGATGATGCTAGGCAAAGCATGGTTGAGAAACGAGGCTCACAAGTGAGCAGGCGGGTAAGGGAAGTGTGTCTGATCAGCAGCAGGACAGGAAGTGGGGGGGGGACGATGACACAGTGGCAGTGGGCCCCACCAGAAGTGTGGGGCCTTGGCAGTTGCCCCACCTTGGCTATGCTGACGCCAAGCCTACTGCTCAGCACCGAAAGGAAAGGGCTTTCGGCAAAAGTGGCTTAGGGCTCCTAGGAGGGCCAGAATGACAAAAGAGATGAGTCAGCATGCTCCGGCGGTCCTTATTGGCCCTTCCCGTCTCAAAACAAACTGATTTTCCAGTCTGATTGCTGCTGCAAGGCACATAAGTGGTTCCCTGCAGAGATGGCAGTGGAGAGAGGGATGCCGTTGTGCGTCCCTGGAGAGTTGTACCTGGCAGCAGCGTTCAGATGAAAACTAGAACTTCTGACTGCAGCCGTTCCCCCATCTCCATCCCTTGAATTTTCTTCCTTGGATTCACCTTGCCTGAATCGGCCCAGCCTGGGTGCAGAAGGAGGAGGAGGAGGAGGAGGAGAAGAAGAGTAGTAGTAGTAGTTTGGATTTATACCCCATCCTACCCAAAGGAGTCTCAGAGTGGCTTACAGTCTCCTTTCCCTTCCCCTCCCCACAACAGACACCCTGTGAGGTAGGTGGGGCTGAGAGAGCTCTCTCAAGAACTGCCCTTGAGAGAACAGCTCAGAAAGAACTTATGACCGACCCAAGGTCACCCAGCAGCTGCATGTGGAGGCGTGGGGAATCAAACCCGGTTCTCCCAAATTAGAGACCGCGTTCCGAACCACTACATCAAACTGGCTTAGTCCTCAGCTGGTGGTCTGTGGCTTCCCCCTTCCCCATACCGGTATTCCGCCCACACCTGCCTTTTCCCCAGACACGAAGTTGGCCAGCAGTGAAGGAGAACAGGCCTCTCGAGCACAAACAGCTGTAGGGTTGTCAACTCTGGGTTGGTAAATTTCTGGAGGTTTGGGTTTGGAGCCTGGGGTTTAGGGAGTGGAGGGACCTCAGTGGGGCATAATGCCATTGAGCAAGGAAGGGTGTGAGTGCGGGGGCACCAGAAGAGAAGAGGAGGGTTGCCAGGTCCCTCCTGGCCACTGGTGGGGGACGGAGGTAGGGTTGCTTTTGGCAGTCATTGACACAGCAACAAACCTGGATTAAAGCACAGGTTTATTTAGGAACTAACATACTTGATAGTAAAGAGGAGAGGCAGAGACAAGGTCCCAGCATCTCTAGCTGAGAGAGAGGGAGAAACTAAGTATGGCACTTCCGAGAAGAAGGGGGAAATTGCCTTGAGAGTAGCAATCTGGAGACAGAGAAGGAAGGACACTGAACAGGAGAGAAGGTGCTGACCTGACTGTCCTACCTAATTGTCTTCTTGCTGCCCCCTGCAAGGTCTTCTCCTCTTCTTCTTTGTACTCCAGACATGGCCTTTTCCCTACACTTGCCAGATCCAGGCTGGGAAATGCCTGGAGATTTGTGGATGGAGCTTGGGGGAGGACAGGGGCCTCAGTGGGGTACAATGCCACCCTCCAAAGCATCCATTTCCTCCGGGGGAACTGATCTCTGCAGTCTGGAAATGAGATGTCATTTGGAGGGATCCCCAGGAGGTTGGCATCCCTAGAGGAGATGTGTGGGTGGGGAATCGGCAATGGTGGGCCTTGCCAGGAGCCCTGGCAGCTGCCCTTGCCACAGGGTACGATGACACCGGCCCTGGCGGCTGGCGGAAGGGAATGGAATGTCTGCATCGGGCTGGAGTGGGGAAGGGGAAGGAGGGATTGGTCCTTGTCCCTTCGGGAGTGGGGTGGGGGCTGTGTTCTCAGCAAAGGGAAATGACTGGGGGAGGGCAGATGGAACCTGGTTGGATTTGGTAAGCTCGGGGAGGGAGATCTGTGGCTTTAATGTTCCCCCCCCTGGTCTGCAGGATGGACATTCAAGCCGCTGCCGGCTCTTCGAAGGTGTTCAACACCAGCTTCTGGGGGAAGCCCTGGCCCAAGTGCGAACCTCTGGAAGGGCAGAGGCTGCGGCTGGTGGAAACGGTGCCCTGTCAGAATGTGCTGCCTTGTTCAGGTGAGGAGGAGGTGGGAGGGCGAGACTTCCGGGGAGGAGGACAGCTTGGTGCGTAGGGTGTTCGTCTTAGGGTTGGGGGGTGGGCAGGGTGCTCCATCTCCGGAGCTTCCGGCGGTCTAGGGCAGCGTCCCAGGCAGGCCAGCAATGGGTCCTGGAAGCCCACTTTGTGCTAAACCTTTGAACTGGCCACTGGCCACTGCTCATTGACGAGATCCGAGTCTGGTGGCGCCTTAAAGACCAACATGATCTCTGGGGTATAAGGCCTTTGATAGTCAACACTCCCTTCGTCAGGTACCTGTATCAGTACATGGGATCCTGGAGGCCTGCTTTCAGGTGTGTGACTAGCCTGCCAGTTTTCTCCATGTGTGGAACACACGCTGCTGCTAGGGTTACCGGGTCCCTCCCCAGGCCACTGGCAGGGGGTGGGGAGGGGGTAGGATCGCCAGATCTAGGTTGGGAAATTCCTGGAGATTTTGCGAGGGGAGGGACCAGGCCCGTAGCCAGGATTTTGTGGCTTGTGGGGCACTTTTTTTTTTTCTGGTGGGGCTGAAGCTCTCAGTGCTGCAAGAAAAGCCGTTTAGCCAGTAGAAAGCGGTGGCCAGGATAGATCTCTAAATTGCAAGCTGTCAGCCACTTTAGATGACAGTTCTCAGCTGCTGCAAGTTAATCGCTTCTGCCAGCCTAAGCAACAATTCTGAGAACAAACCGGCAGGTGGGGGTCATGAAAGCTAACACTTGGGCAGAAAAACTCTCTGAAAGGAGACCGGTTTCTTGACACAGAGTTAGAGGGGATCCTAGAGGTCACCTGCTCCAACTTAGCTCAGTGCGGGAATTAGCCAACTACAGCTTCCCACTGTGCTTAAAGGAGCGCACACTTTTAAAAATGTTTTAAAATAAAAAAAGCATTTACAGGAGAGATTCTTGTGGGGCTGTCCCTTTAAGGACAGGGGCAGAGCCCCTAAAAGCCCCACTGTAGCTTGGGGATGGAACCTGGGGAGGACAGGGACCTCAGTGGGGTACCGTGCCACAGAGTCCACCCCACGAAGCATCCATTTTCTCCAGGGGAGCTGATCTCTGTGGTCTGGAGATGAGCTGTAATTCCGGGGGATACCCAGGTCACACCTGGAGGTTGGCATCCCTAGCTGCTTCCAACCCTGGCCAGGCCTCAGCATGATAGGATTCATTATGACCCTGCCTTCCTGACAACCCGCCACCCCCTCCCAAATTGTTAATAGCCCTCCTGTTAAGCCACAGTGCGGGGAGACCATAGGAAACAGAGTAGGGTGTCGCTACAGTGCCCGTTGCCTCTCTCCTGCTCGCAGAAACCTTAGATCCAACCCTAAAGCACTTTCCTGGGCTAACCCCCTACCCCTCTCCCCTTTACTTATGTCATTTCTGTGTTTTTCCCCAGACTGATTTTGCAGGAGGAAATCTTGTGGATTTTCAGCACGGGATACAAGAAGTGAAGGATGCTGCACAACCAGTATTTTTGCTTCCTGTGGCTTTCGTAGATTGCCCCATAACTTCCTTCCTCTTACTGAAATGGGCACCCTGGGGCACATCGTCCCCATCTGAATCATCAGTGTATTAAATTGTGTATAATGTACCGGATCGGTGTGTCTCTTTGGCGGGAGAGGTCTAGCCTCTAACAGCTTGTTGTGTTCTGGAAGACATGAGGTTTAGTATCCCCCGTTTCCAGCTCTTCGAACCCTCCTCCAGTACCCTCTCTATCGTACTATTCAAGGTTGGGGCCAGAATGGCTGCTTTCTGTTCACCGAGCCTGAAACCTCACCACTTACAGCCGGAGTCTCCAACGTGGTGGTACCTATGGGGACCGTGGTGCCTGCCAACATGATTCCTGGCACCATCCAGGCATTTTAGAAAGTGGGCAGGGCTGAGTGAGGCTTTTCCCCAACAGGGCTGCTGATTAGCTATGCAGATTGGAAAATATCCTGTCAAAAAGAGCTTCTGCCTGAAATATTGAAGAGGGGCTATTAGAGTTTTATATATATATATTTATAAACTTGCTCCCTGACATTTTGTGATTGGCCCCACCTGCTGTGGCAGCCACCTTGGGATTGGCCCAACCTTCTGTGGCAGCCATTTTGTGATTGGCTCCACTTCCTGTGGCAGCCACCTTGGGATTGTGCCCATCACCTGGAGTCAGAATTCCAAAGGTGTCCATGGGCTCAAAAAGGTTGGGGACCCGACTTAGAGTGACAGGGCAATCGCACTGTATCCCCATCCTGCTGAGATATAAGGGCAGAAGAGCTTGAATACGTTTCATCTAGCCTCAGAAATCAGAGTTGTGTCGTGAGCAAGTATCAGACTAGGACCTGGGAGACCCCGGTTCAAATCCCCAGTAGGTGACCTTGGGTCAGCCATTCTCTCTTCTCACCAACCTCACTGGGCAGTCGTCGTAGAGAAGATAAAATGGAGGCAGGGAGAACAATGTCGTAAGCCGCGCTGGGTCCCCATTTAAGAGAAAAGCAGGCTATAAATTTCAAAATAAATATTTCAAAATGGCAGAAGGGATTTTCTCAACTGCTCCTTCCTCCCAACCCCTGGGCAATGTTCCCGCTAAGCTGTGGAGTCTTGTGAGCAAAAATTCTACTTTGTGAGCTGCTGGCATTAAAGTTGTGAGTGAGTGATTTGGCTGCTGCATGAATTAGCTTGCTCTGGAGCCCTCCTTCCTGAGCCAAGACAAAAATGTGTGAGCCGGAGGCTAAAGAACTGCGAGCTGGCTCACACTGACTCAGCTTAGAGGGAACACTGCCCCTGGGTACTTCCTCAGCCCTCCTCAGCCTGTAATGCCCTCTAGCAGCATCTTTATTCCAGCTAGTAAAGCAGTGGAATGGGGCTACTGATGGACAAGGCAGGCATTTCTGTATATTCAGGAGAACTGCCCAGGCATGAGTCTGACTAGGGGGACTGTGACGGAACAGGCTTGCTTTGACTTGTAGACCCTGCTCTGCCCACCCGTCCTTGCTGTTGCCATCTCCTGGCAGGGCTTACTTCTCCCTTCCACTAGGGTAACTCGCTGCCACCACCAGGGGTCTTTTTGTAGAAAAAGAGCTGCCAGAGCTCATTGGCATAACATTAGCATATGCCACACCCCCTGACATCACCGGAAGTGTGTCATAAGGCCACACACACCCTGACATCACCAGAACCTCTTGATGACTGTTTTTTGTTTCTTGTCCTTGGCCCTTTCGGTCTGTTGGTTACGGAGGCTAAAAAACTGTGAGCTGGCTCACACTAACTCAGCTTAGAGGGAACACTGCCCCTGGGTACTTCCTCAGCCCTCCTCAGCCTGTAATGCCCTCTAGCAGCATCTTTATTCCAGCTAGTAAAGCAGTGGAATGGGGCTACTGATGGACAAGGCAGGCATTTCTGTATATTCAGGAGAACTGCCCAGGCATGAGTCTGACTAGGGGGACTGTGACGGAACAGGCTTGCTTTGACTTGTAGACCCTGCTCTGCCCACCCGTCCTTGCTGTTGCCATCTCCTGGCAGGGCTTACTTCTTCTTTCCACTAGGGTAACTCGCTGCCACCACCAGGGGTCTTTTTGTAGAAAAAGAGCTGCCAGAGCTCATTGGCATAACATTAGCATATGCCACACACCCTGACATCACCGGAGGTGTGTCATAAGGCCACACACCCTTGACATCACCGGAAGTGTGTCATAAGGCCACACACACCCTGACATCACCAGAACCTCTTGATGACTGTTTTTTGTTTCTTGTCCTTGGCCCTTTCGGTCTGTTGGTTATGGTCCAGCTCCTCCTCTTCCTATCACATGACTCTGATATCACATCCCGGGATGCTCCTTTGTGAGCGGCTGGCATTAAAGCTATGAGTGAGCAATTTGGCTACTGCATAAATTAGTTTGCTCTGGAGGCATCTTTCCTGAATTAAGACAAAAATGTATGAGCCGGAGGCTAAAAAACTGTTAGCTAGCTTGCACTTAGAGGAAACACTGGACAAAACCCAGGTGCCCTCAGGAGGTCCACCAGCAGGGCCAAAACTCCAGGAGCCCTCCCACTCTTGCCCCCCAAGCACCAAGAATGCAGAGCATCACTATGCCAGACATAAGAACATAAGAGAAGCCATGTTGGATCAGGCTAGTGGCCCATCCAGTCCAACACTCTGGGTGCGTTCAGACGGGGGATTTACAACGGTTAGGGTGCCGGTTCCAACCGGCGTACTTACGGGCGTTCACACGGCGAACATCTGCCTCCCGTCCCTAACCGTTGTAAATCCCTTTAAACCGTTGCACTCTGCCACTAGGTTCCTAGTGGTGGTAAACTGAGTGCAACGGTTGAAAACGGTGCACCCCGGCGTCTGATCGC